ATCCTTTACCTCGCATTAATGATTTATTCGACCAGCTTCAGGGAGCGAGAGTGTTCTCCAAGATTGATCTCCGTTCGGGTTATCACCAATTGAAGATCAGGGATTCAGATATTCTCATGACTGCATTCAGGACCAGATGTGGTCATTATGAGTTCCTTGTTATGTCTTTCGGGCTAACCAATGCCCCAGCAGCATTCATGCATCTGATGAACAATGTGTTTCAGCCTTATCTTGATTCATTCATAATTGTCTTCATTGATGATATTCTGGTGTACTCGCCTAGTCAGAAGGAGCACGCGGAGCATTTGAGAGTTGTGTTGCAGAGATTGAAAGAGGAGAAACTTTATGCAAATTTCTCCAAATGTAAGTTCTGGTTAAGTTCAGTGGCTTTATTGGGGCATGTGGTGTCCAGCGAGGGCATTCAGGTCGATCCAAATAAGATAGAGGTGGTTCAGAGTTGGCCCAGACCATCCTTAACCACAGAGATTCGCGCTTCCTTGGTTTGGCGGGATATTATCGTCGGTTTGTTCAGGCATTCTCATCTATCGCATCGCCCTTGACCAAGTTGACCCAGAAGGGTACTTCATTTGTCTGGTCAGACGAGTGTGAGAAGAGCTTTCAAAAGCTCAAGATAGCTTTGACCACAGCTCCAGTGTTGGTTTTTCCATCAACTTCAGGTTCATATATCGTGTATTGCGATGCTTCAAGAGTTGGGATTGGTTGTGTGTTAATGCAGGAGGGTAGAGTTATTGCTTATGCTTCTCATCAGTTGAAACCCCATGATAAGAACTACCCCATTCATGATTTGTAGTTGGTTGCCATAGTTCACGCATTGAAGATCTGGAGGCATTACTTGTATAGTGTATCTTGTGAGGTATTCACTGATCATCGCAATCTTCAGCATTTGTTCAAGCAAAAGGATCTTAATCTGAGGCAACGGAGATGGTTAAAGTTGCTTAAGGATTATGATATCACTATATTGTACCATCCGGGAAAGGCCAATGTGGTGGCCGATGCTTTGAGCCGGAAGGCAGTGAGTATGGGGAGTTTGGCGTATATTCCAGTTGGGGAGAGACCCATTGCAGTTGATGTTTAGGCTTTGACTAATTGGTTTGTGAGGTTGGATATTTTGGAGCCTAGTCAGGTGTTGGCTTGTGTGGTTTCTCGATCTTCTTTATATGATCGCATCAGATAGCGCCAGTATGATGATTCGCATTTGCTTGTCCTTAAGGATAAGGTTCAGCATGATGATACCAGGGATGTGACCATTGGTGATGATGGGATGTTGAGGATGCAGGGCCGGATTTGTGTGCCTAATGTGGATGGACTTCGGGAGATGATTCTGGAAGAGGCCCATAGCTCGTGGTATTCCATTCATCCGGGTGTAGCAAATTGTATCAGGATTTGAAGCAACACTATTGGTGGAGAAGAATGAAGAAAGACATTGTAGGATTTGTGGTTCGATGTCTCAATTGTCAGTAGGTGAAATATGAGCATCAGAGACCGGGCAGCCTACTTCATCAGATAGATATTCCAGAGTGGAAGTGGAAGAGAGTCACTATAGATTTTGTGGTTGGACTTCCTCGGACTTTGAAGAAATTCAATGCTATTTGGGTGATTGTGGATCGGCTGACCAAGTCTGCGCACTTCATTCCTGTGTGTACTACTTATTCTTCAGAGTGGTTGGCAAGGATCTATATTCGAGAGATTGTTCGTTTGCATGGTGTTCCGGTTTCCATCATTTCAGATAGAGGTACTCAGTTTACTTCGCAGTTTTGGAGAGCCATGTAGCGAGAGTTGGGTACTCGGGTTGAGTTGAACACAGCTTTTCATCCTCAGACGGACAGGCAGTCTGAGTGCACTATCCAGATATTGGAGGACATGTTACGTGCATGTGTCATTGATTTTGGAGGGTCTTGGGATGAGTTTCTACTACTTGCAGAGTTTGCTTATAATAACAACTATCAGTCGAGTATTCAAATGGCTCCATATGAGGCTTTGTATGGGAAATGGTGTAGATCTCCAATTGGTTGGTTTGAGCCCGGTAAGGCTAGGCTATTGGGGACAGACTTGGTCCACGATGCTTTAGAGAAGGTAAAAGTGATTTAGGAGAGGCTTCGTACTGCGCAGTTTAGACAGAAGAGTTATGCTGACAAGAAGGTTCGAGATGTGTCCTATATGGTTGGTGAGAAGGTTTTGCTGAAGGTTTCGCCTATGAAGGGTGTTATGAAATTTGGAAAGAAAGGGAAGTTGAGTTCGCGGTTCATTGGGCCTTTTGAGGTACTTTCGAGGATTGGGGAGGTGGCTTATGGGCTTGCTTTGCCACCCAGCTTGTCGAGTGTGCATCCGGTATTTCATGTTTCTATGCTCCGGAAGTATATTGGGGATCCATCCCATGTTTTGGATTTCATCACGGTTCAGTTGGATGATGATTTGACCTATGATGTGAAGCCAGTGGCTATTTTAGGTCGTCAGGTTCGAAAGTTGAGATCAAAGGATATAGCTTCAATGAAAGTGCAGTGGAGAGGTCGACCCGTGGAGGAGGCTACCTGGGAGACCGGGCGGGAGATGCAGAGTAGATATCCTCACCTATTTGAGACTTTAGGTATGTTTATTGACTCGTTCGAGGACGAACGTTTGTTTAAGTTGGGGAGGATGTGACGACCCGGTCAATCGTCTCATGAGTTACCACTCTGTCTTCCCTATTTTTTGCTTCTTTATGTTTCGTTATCCGTGTTGCATGTGATCGGGTTGATTAGTTTGGGTTCGGAGAGGAATTGGTAAGAAATGAGACAATTAGTCTCTTTTAAGAAAGTTTAAATTGGAAAAGTCAACCAGATGTTAACTTATGTGTTCGAGGGCTTGGATGTGAATTCCGATGTTTCTGTTAGCTTTGGGAGGTGATTTATGACTTAGGAGCGTGATCGGAATGGGTTTTGGAGGTGTAGAGAAGAATTAGGCTTGAATTAGCGAAGTTGTGATTTTGGCGATTTCCGGTTGTTAGACTAGTTTTTGATATAGGGGTCAGAATGGAATTCTGAGAGTTGCAGTAGCTTCATTGTGTCATTTGGGATGTGTGTATAAAATTGTAGGTCATTCGGACGTGGTTTGGTTGGGTTTTTTATCAAAAGCGTATTTCGGAAGATTTTAGAAACTTAGGCTTGGATTCGATGTGATTTGATAGATTTGATGTTGTTTGAGGTGTTTTGATGATTGGAGCAAGTTTAAATAAGGTATTGGGTTACATTTGTGCTTTTGGTTGAGGTCTGGAGGGCCTCGGGGTGATTTCGGATGGTTGTCAGAGAAGTTGAAGTGTAATTGCAGCTTCAGATTTTGCTGCTTCTGGTGTTTTCGCACCTACGGTTTGGGGACCGCATGTGTGGTTTCGCATATGCGGGAGAAAAACCGCAGAAGCGCTTTTGGGAAGAAATGTCTGGAACCGCAGATGCGGTAGAGGGCCCGCACCTACGGAGCCATAGATGCGGCGAGTGCACCGCAGATGTGGTTTTGGTCCCTTGAGTGAATTCCGCAGAAGCGGTTGGTTAGACCGCAAATGCGGTACCGCAGAAGCGGATTTTTGGACCGCAGATGCGGCTATGTATGGCAGAATGTATATAAGCTTGCCTTCGTCATTTTTGAAGGTTTTCACCATTTTCAACTTCGGATTTAGAGCTTTTGGGCAATTTTGAAGGGAGATTACAAGGGAACTTCGTTAAGGTAAGGATTTTGAACCTAAAACACACTTCTATGGTAATATTTCATGGATTAAGACTGAAATTAAAGGAATTAAAGGGCTAAAAATAGAGGTTTAGGGCTTGAGTTTAAGAGGTCTTTGATTGGGGATTTGAGGGGCGATTTGGACCCCGATTCTTGTGTTCTTGATATGTATGAACTCGTGGGGAGATGCGGAATCCGTTGAAGTAAAAATTTCTGAACTTCGAAAAGTGGGCCCGGGGCTTGGGTTTTGATAATTTCGGGATTTTTGGTATTTTTCGATTGTTTTCGCTTGGGCTTTATTCCCTTTGCATATTGTGACGTATTCGTTCTGATTTTGGATAGATTCGACGCGAGTGGAGGCCGATTCGAGGGGAAAAGGCGTTGCGGAATAGTATTTTCTCCGGTTTGAGGTAAGTAACCATTGTAAATTTGGAACTGAGGGTACAAAACCCCGGTATTTGACTCAATTTGGTAAATGCGGTGACGCATATTGTAGACATGTGATTTTTAACGTCCCCAAGATTTTTATATTTTAGCACGTAAATATTTAATTTAACCTAATATAGCTATTTCAACTCATTTTGACTCTTTTACTTTATTTTATTACAAGAAAAATAAAAATTACAAAAAAAAATTAGTTTATGTATTTTTCATAAAAAAAATACAAAAAATAGCACATTATTTTTATCTTTATATAATTTCGAAAATACAAAAATAGTTTTATGTTTAGTTTAATTAATTAGGATTAGCTTTGGCATTGTATAGTATTTCTATCTTATTTTAAAAGGCATTGTGTAGTATTTCAGATTATGGAAAAAATACAAAAAATATATTGCATATGCATTTAGGATTTAATTTGATATTTTTAGATTAATTAGTACATTGATTTTGATTTGTTTGACAAAATAGAAAAAAACATAAAAATAGTCATGTTGCATTTTACTCTTTAATTTTCGAATTTTGGCAATTTCTTTTAATTTGGTATTTAATTAATTGGGATAATTATTATTTTGAGTAATTAATCTAATTTGGTAGGCTGAATCTTGGGTCAATTTGACCCATTTGGTTTTGAAGTAATTAATACGAGGGTTTTAAGGGTAGTCTAAGAATTGTTCAATAAAAGAGGTCTTTACCTACTTAAGAAACTTCTATAATTGTAGGGTTAGAATTGCACTAATTAGGTTAAGTGGATAATTAAAAATGGGAAAAGTTGAATTGATAATGGGAATGACACTAAATGAATGCCTATTTAAGGGGTGAAAATAGAGCTAGAAAACGGCGGGGGGGGGGAGATCCAGGAACGAGCCTTTCAACCATACCAAAACCACATTTCTTTAATCCAAGTTCCTCATGAAAGCTCACCATTAAACAAAGGCTGCCTTAAACAAAGATATCCAACCATAGCTATTGGAAACTTACAAAAGAAAACCTCAAAACATCCATCGACAATACCACCAAAGTTACTCAAGATTGGCCATAGCACCACCACCGTGCTATTGTTCCGTTGGTGCTGGGTGTACCGCCACAGCATCACTGCTCCGTCAAGCTCCGCTCAAAATGATTTTGTTTTCTTCACATGCTTCAATTTTAATTTATTTCCTGCCACAAATCAAAGCTAAAATAAATTAGAGTTTTAGACTGTATTGGTTTATGAACCAAAATCGAGAGGAGGTTCATCGAGGTTTCATCAGCGGGGCCTTCGGTTCGAGGTTCGTGGTTCCGAGTCCGATTTGCTGCCGTCTGCTCGTTCAGATTTTAGACTCACATCTCGCTCGACTAAGTTGCTGTAATTGTTGAAATCCTATTAATTGAAAGGTTTTGAGGTCCATTCTTCTACTCTCTATTATTTTTACTATTATTTTCTATGCTGCTAGAACATGATATTAATTCGGAGTGCTATTTTGAGCCATTGAGATCATTGTTGATGCTCTTAGTTTCATTTTAGTACTAGTTGTTTGCTGGGTACCCTTCTGTTGAATATACATATATATATTTAGTTCTAGTTTTTATTTTTATTTTTATTTTCGTTATATATATAACTGGTGGTCATACCATGGTCCTACTACCAAAATTTTGCCTGAACCATTCCTAGAATTATACAAAGAATGGACAAAAGCCTCTCCGTTCTTAACAGATTTATATCACGCAGATCATATCTGCTATCTAGAAAAAATTGATCAGATTTACTTCTTTATTGAATTTTCTATCCCCTGGATCCATAAATGGACCCCGGAAATGGGTTATACGGAAGAACAAATCCCTTGTTTATATAGGGTATTCTACAACAATTTTTGGGACAAATTGATGAAAACTGATCCCAAAACAAAGACGTTATACGGCCAAGAATTATTAGATTCTATAAAAACACAAATTCATTTATATGTGACAGCCCCTCAAAAAAGGATAGTAGAAGAAAGCACTGTTAAACATATTGCTCGGAGAATATCAATCCAAGATGGAGATAAAATGGATTTGATAAATCAATACTTAGAAGGGTTGAAAAGAAATCTGCTCCAATCACTAGATCAGTGTGAAAAATCAGACACTTCAATGAGAAGTGAGACGAGTGGTGATGACCTCGTAGAAGATACTCAACCTATACAGCCAGAAATGATATTATCTGACAGAGAAATCGACAAGGTGGAAGAATTCCTCCAACAGATGCAAAATATGGACAAAAAGAAGACTTGACAGCTTATCAGCCGCCAGGACCCACTTAAACAGTAGATACACTGTTCATCAACAGTAGAAACACTGTTTATCTACAGTAAAAACACTGTGTAGGAACCCATATGTGGGACCCATTTTACTATTCAAGATTCTTTTTTTGGTTATTTAAGAATGCTTCTTCATTTGAAGAAGAGAAGGCTGGAACCCCCCCTCTCTCTCTACTTTCTCTCTCCTCTCTCTCTCTCAACCAACCCCCTTTGTAAACACTTAGTTCATAGCTTAGTTTGTAAATCGAGTTCAAGAATTAATAAAAGTTTTGAAATTCATCTTCAGGGCCTTGCTTCTCGGCCTACAAGGTACATATTTATTCTTCTTTTAGTATTTTTTAGTATCTCTCCCTAGCCGTGACTATGTCCGGCTAAACGGATTCATATCTATGTTGAAGCACTAATTTCTCTTGCATATTAACCATGAAGAATCCAGACTCTTTCAAAATATAAAGAAATTGTAATATAGTTTCTTGATTTGGTTCCAAGATGGTGGTACAGTCGGTTCTGGTACTACTCTTATTGGCTTTGCCTTAGTGGCTACGTCTAGCCAGCTGTGACATTAAAGCCCGCTGAAGTTGTCNGTGTTCTAAAATCATATGATTAGGCCAATAATAACAGTTGAGCGACCGTGCTAGAACCACGGAACCCGGGAATGCCTAACCCCTTCTCCCGGGTTAACAGAATTCCTTACCCGAATTTCTGTATTCGCGGACTGTAAAACAGAGTCAATCTTTCCTCGATTCGGGATTTGAACCGGTGACTTAGGACACCAAAAATCTCCCAAGTGGCGACTCTGAATCTTTTAATTGAAATAAATCCTGTTTCGATTATCCTTTAATTGGAAAAACTCCCTTATACCTTGTTGGACCGAGTATACTTAGGCTGTTATGTTTTACTCGGTCATGTTTTACCTGCTTAAATGTTTAAAACTAGTTTTATAACTCTACTTGAGAAATGTAGAGTTACCGGTTCAGAGTCGGTCCAACAAGGTATAAGGGAGTTTTTCCAACAAGGTATAAGGGAGTTTTTCCAATTAAAGGATAATCGAAACGGGATTTATTTCAATTAAAAGA